TTTATCTAAATACTTATAACAAATTGAAATGACCAAAATTGGACACAAAGTCAAATTTGTGTTTCAAATATGCAATAGATATTAGGGCACATCAATTTCATCTATTGATAACCTTTAAATCTTAATTCGGGATTCATAACTAAATATAGTGTTCGATCGAATTCTTCTATTATATTCAATTTACTCATCTCGAGTTTTCATTGAGCCTATTTAACTAGTTTAATCTAATATCTCTATGTGAATCAAACTTAGTTAAATGAAGGCTAATTAGCACAAAACGTCCTTACTTTTGGGGTTGATTTGGAAACCATCCCTACCTTTCATTTCTTGACATTTATGCCCTTACCTTCAACATTTTTGTACACTGAACGTCCTTTTCACATGTTTTTGATGATTTTACCCCTCATTCAAATAAAACAAAAAGAAAAGAAATTAAAAACAATCCAACAAATTGCAATTAGAGGCCCAAACTTTTTAAAAAGTGCAAATAACCCACCAAACTTCACCTTCTTCCCACAACTCACCCCCATCCCACCGTTGCGTGCCGGCCATTTTCAGACCACCATGGCCACCTGAATTTTGCACCAACATCATCTCCTTATCAACCCCTAATATACCTACACAAATTCCAGCCCCAAAAAAACAACAAAATTGAATCAAAATTCTGCCAAAAAAAAAAATCAAAATTCAAGAAAACTGAAAACCCATGGAAGTTCCCATTTCTCTCTCTACTCCATCTAATCCCAAAATTAGAAATGTAACACCTAGTGATAATGGTGAAAACAATCAGACAAAAAGAGTATAACATACATGTCAGATAATATAAACCAATTGCACAATTCTGCTGGAGGAACAATTTCTAGATAAGGTAGCAGGGCATCAGCTACTGCACGTTTAAGAGGGAATAACAAGTATCTTGAAGAAGTATCAAACATTTCTTTATCCTGTGTTAAAAAGAAGAAGAAGAAGATCAACAAATTATGTTTAAGAAACCCTGTTTTCCCTCTTTTGATTGGGGAGGGGATGAAGATACCTGATCAGGGTCTATGTCCTTCAAACTGTCAGTATACCTGGATCAACAAATATCCTATTAATATAGAAACTAGAATTAGATTATTTGAGAGGGAAAGGGAGAACCCTGTTGAAATGAGCACCCATCAGCCTCATCGTTGCTCCGTCTTTCTCGTTGTTGACGTTAAGCGCTTGTACAGGTTCCTTCTCTTTATGTTATGCGTATTACTAGTTAGTAATTTTATTCATGGGTTTTCTTAAATTTTGATTTTTTTATGTCTGATGTTGGTGGGTAGATTTATTTATATGTTAATTCATGGAATTTGAACTAAAATTCGATTTTGGATTTCAGTTCCCTTAAAAATCCCCCACACAAGCAATGGTGAAAATCAGATTAGATGGGATTAGATGGAGTAGAGAGAGAAATGGTAACTTCCATGAGTTTTCAATTTTCTTGAATTTTTATTTTTTTGATTTTTTGGCTGAATTTTGATTCCATTATGTTATTTTTTGGGGCTGGAATTTGTGTACGTATATTAGGGGTTGATGATGAGATGATGCTGGTGCAAAAATCTGGTGGCCATGGTGGCCTGAAAATGGCCGGCAGGCAACGGTGAGATGGGGGTGAGTTGTGGGAAAAAGGTGAAGTTTGGTGGGTTATTTGCACTTTTTAAAAAGTTTGGGCCTCTGGTTGCAATTCGTTAGATTGTTTTTAATTTCTTTTCTTTTTGTTTTATTTGAATGAGGGTAAAATAGTCAAAAAAATATGTGAAAATGACGTTCAGCGCACAAAATGTTGAAGGTAAGCGCATAAATGCCAAAAAATGAAAGGTAGGGACGGTTTCCGAAATCAACCCAAAGGTAGGGACGTTTTGTGCTAATTAGCCTTAAAAGAAATAATAGTTATAAGAATTCTTATAAGACCGCAATAATTAATATATATATCTTTATACGTTATACTAGATTACTTAATTTTAATATGTGGTCTAAATCTAATACTCACCTCTCCATTCGTAATAAATTCACAAAATTATTGAATTAGTTATCAAGTAATTCAAAGCATTAAGTACATAATTAAAATCAACACATAAATAATGAAAGAACGTGAATTTTGAATAAAAGAAATAAAAGGTCTCAATTCGATTACATTGTTTACCCTCATAGAAAACTTATCTACTCATAATAATTGAAGAAAACTAAAGATTTGCATCGAGTACATCACCGGGTTTTGAATTGAGATGTAGAAAAGAGGATGAATCTTGCACTAAGTTTTGTGCTTGCCTCCAACTTGATTTCATACCCTAGCTCTTCATTTCTTGTTTTTCTCCCTCTTGATTTTCTCTCGAATTCTCAAGTTGTATCTTGTCTCTCAATATGTGGAATTTTGAAAAGTGCGTCATTTTTTTATTAAAACTTCTCCTTTTGTGTTTCTCGAAATTGGAGTCTTTTTGGGCTTTTAATGGGCCAAAATTGTACACCCTAGGTAGACGGCATGTAGAATTTGGGTAGCTAGTAGGCGCCAGGCACTGCATCTCTGTTCTTTTCTACATCTTCTGGGCAGTCGTAGTGCCTGGGTGCTAATTTGTTGTTCCAAATGTCGTCCTTGGAGCTTAGGCACTCTAGGTATGGTGCCAGTTTGCTGCTCCCAGCTTAGTAACCTTTTGTACGACCTCACAGTGGTTCACAATCAAACTAATGTGGAACAAGACCCATCGGTGAAGATAAAGGCAAACCTCTTACCACCGGTGAAAATGAAAGCAGAATCGACTCACACCTCAACTAAACAGCCCCCAAGCATCGTGTTGAAGACCATGACCTGAAACACCTAATTACGACGTTGACTAGAACTCGATCAACCTAAAATCTTGAAGAAAACCACCAGAAATCAAGAAACCACCAAGTGATGGGAGGAATCCAAGAACCGAAGGCCAACAATGTAGAAACAAGAGACAAATCGAAGGATTCAGTTATTGATTCCTAAGGTAAGCTTTGATAATATAACAGTTTTTAACTAAATGTGCTCATTGTGAAGATTTGCTCGATTAACTAGAAACACGATTCCTTGAGGCTATGCACTTGCGGATGGTTACCCATCCAACTGTTGCTACGAGATGGAGAGGAGTGTTACATTTCTCATTCTTCAATGATAGTATGTTGAATGAATCTTCTTAGGGTATGCACTTGACCATTTCCTCAATCTGTACTGCATTACAAGAGCTAACTTATTCAGAATGGTAACTAGCTAGAGTCTAATTTATGTAAAGCTATCTCCTTATTTAGTAAGCTTTGCACTATGAGCTGATGAACTTTTCTCATAGGCCTTTTGAACATTATTCAACTGCTTGTTCATAGTGATTTCAAATAGATAGTCTACATAAAACACTTCTTTTGTTAGGAATTCTATCATTCGTGAAGCTATTTATTGCTATAGCGTAGTTGATATCAAATAAATAGTGTTTGTAGACTCTTCAACATCTAAGCCCCTATCTTGTATCGATTTTATCTTTGAATTTTATTAGATTTTGATAGAAACCACTGTGCATGTTAAATTTTTTATTCCATTATTTCTATACAGATCCCGAAAATCACAGTAAAAAAAGGTGGCTGAATTCATTAAATTCATGCAAGTCATTATTTGAATAAGTCAAAAAGGTGTCTGCATCAATTGTTACCTTTATTATAAAAGAGTAAAATACGTATTGAGAGAAAAAATCCAAAAGGTGATTTGACTTGTGGTACATTTGACATTGCATTAAAAAATTAAAAGGGGACCCACTTGACAGCGCAAAAAATCGATTTTTTCCTTTTTGGGTTAAATAGTGCTCCCAACACGGGCTTAAGAATGTGCAAAGATGTCTTCCATTGTAGTGTGTTTGGTAGAGATTTTTGGAGGAAGAATTGATTTTTGAATAGTGATACGATAGGAAATACATTGTTGAAAAAGAAGAAAAAGGTATTGATGTGATGGAAAATATTATTTTATTGAAAAATATATGGTTGAAAATGAGAATTGATTTACTATAGAAAATGAGAATCTGTACCAAACATACTCTTGATATCCTTATTCCTTCTATGCTTTTGCTGAAGTTCTCAACAGAAAATAATTATTTTCTTATTAATATATAGTAATCATTACATTCTAAATAGAATGCCACTTTAACAACGAAGCAAGAATTAGTTTCTTCTCTTTTACATCCCGAGAAAAAGAACTGGGGAGGATGCTGCTCTTGTACTTTAACCGAGAAACTAATTAAAATGGAAAATTTAGCACGTGATTATGATTAAACTTCCTCAAATACTTAAAAATATTGCAAGATAAATATCCCTCTTTATCATGATGAGAATTTCTATTTTTTCCTCTCCATACTAAGAGAATTTTCTTTATGGGTATATAAGTGCTACGAGAATTCCCATTTGTTTTTCATTTACTTTTCAATTCAATTCAAGGTACCACATTATTTTACATACGCATTATGATTTAGTAATCGGCCCTAAATTAACTGGATGGATGCACACTCATTTAGATCACTCTCAAGTAACAGAAGCTAACTGAAAGTGCTATAGACAAAGTCTGTAAGTTGAGAAAGAACACAACAGAACAGAATGTTCATTCAAGTATATAACCATTCTCTGTTTATTTAAAAATTTGTCCTTTTCTGTCCTACATAGATGATAGATGGGGCATTCTTTCATAATTTCAGATTGTAAACAATCTTGATTCATAGTGCAAGAGAGCGCAATAACTTAAGAATGTAGGCAATTGCTGAACCCTGTAGACAATTGCTGTGTACATTCTTTCCCTTCTTCATGTTCTATCTCTATGACTTATTCTAAGAGATTGGTAGGCTTCTTGAAATTATTTAATTTGGTACTATGACTTCTTTGTATAACAATGCTACATTCCAACTTGAACTTCTAAATAAGTAATTTTTCAATATGCAAAAATTTAACCGAGTGATCTTTGCGATACAAGGGAATTAGTTGGAAACCTAATCATGGAACGCCTTGTAACTTCTAAGTGGCACCTTTATGATTGTAGACCATAGAAGATCGTAACATAGTTGCAGCTGCACAAGAGCAAAAAATGCCACTGGTATAAAAGCAACACCATATATTGGAACTGCTGCATATCTCAGTTTCTCTCTGAGAATAAAGGTATGCCCTGCACAGAATGAGATCAACATAGCAACAATGGATGCAAAGAGAGAACTTAAGCCCAGCAAAAGCTTCCTTGGCAATGTTAATTTGAAATCACGTTCCTGCCATCTTGAAGTATTGATGGAAAGAAAAAACACAAGGGCTGTGACAGAGAGGGTGAGAGCAACTAGGGATGTGACGGAAAACACATCAAATGCTGTTTTGTTTTCCAGAACTGGATGCCCAGTATCCTCTTTTAATCCACCAGGCACTGTGGCTGAGGTAGCAAATGCAACAGTGGCAATGAGCGCAGCAATTACAGAACATGACTCTGATGTTTTGATAAGCCAATTAGTGCCTTCTTTGACCAGCTTTCGATGTGTCTGTATGAAGATCTTCCTTGGGGTCTCTCCCCTATTGTTGTTGTGAGCAAAGCTTAATGGTGGAACCGAGTGCTTAACATGCTGCATCATGTTCGAAATATTGGTTGGTATTCATTTCTATTCAAAATATTGGTTAGTTAGTATTCATTTCTATTTCTATTGGTTAGCTGATATAAAAGCTTAAAGACGTCAAACGCAGGACACTTGTATTATTTAAATGGTTTTAGATAAAGCAGTTCAACATGATAGCAAAACTGACTAAAAAGCATATTGATATAGAGGTCTTGACTATAAGTCTTGCAGCCAACCATTTATAAAAAAATAAAAAATAAATAAAAATTGCTTTGTTAGAATTAGTGTGCGACCTGAATTCCATTTGAAAGACTATATGCAATTTTTATTTGAAGTTAACTTTGAATCCAAGATAAAGTCTATTTGTGAATTCTAGTTGGAATTCAATTTGGAAGTTTATGATTTGTTTGAACTTGAAGGAGTCTAAATTGCAATAGGAGAGGAAGAAATCATGTAAGGAGAAGAAACAAAGCATTGGTGCTCGCTACACGCTCAGCAGCCCCTCGAGAGCTCAAAACAGAAGCGTAAGCCCTTGCTAACTGCCACGATAGGCCACCGCTTGATATCTGTGAGACCGCCCCTCGATCGACAATCTTATTCGGGTTGAAACAGTTCACGATTTTAGGCAGATTTTTTAATCCTATTTTATCCAAGCACTCCATTAATATATAAACTTATTATAGATGAGCTTCACCATATCTTAGGCTCTTATTTGTATTATAAATATGCTTCAGGTATATTTTTATCACGTACATTTTGTATTCTTGTTTGATCTTTTTGTCAGTTAATTTCTCGTTCCATTATTTGCTAACACACATTATAGCTTTGATGAGAAAAATGAATCTGACCTACACTTGAGAGTCAGTTGAGGACTTAAATTAAATTGAAAATGAGTTCTCTCTCTAAAAAATATTGTAGATAAAGTAGTTTAAGATATATATGCACAATACCTTGTACCATTTGATCTCCCATTGCATCTGCAGAGCAGCACCAGGAATAAGCCATGGTTGGAGTTCTCCCAGCATTGCAGCAAGGTGCAGAATGCTGTTTCCTTGATCGTCGAATTGGTGAAAAACGAATTCTGGGAGCTTCTTCTCCACCAGATAATTAAAAATAGTGGTTTGCCTATTTTCAGCGGCCAACATCAACGCATTCTTACCGCTAGAGTCCAGGTCTTGAATTGCT